AGATAGACATTTTAGAATAATTAAAATAATAGATTAGATATCTTTTACTAAGAAATAGATATCTTTTCTTATAGAATAGATATTTTTTACTATAGTATGAACACCTTTTACTATAGTATAGACACTTTTTAATATAATAAGAGTACTTTTGCCAAATTAAGTTTGTTTGGCTTTGTTTATCTTTTATATTATTGTTCTATCATCCTGGGCTGTTTTGGGATACTATTTGTGCTCATATATCTTGGTCTGGGTTCTGTTTATATTAAACAAACTTATAATTTAAATATCTAAATAACTATTGCTTTAAATAGAATTTTGTAAAAACTATCCTAATAAAGTTAATAATAAACTATATTTGAACAACTAAAATAAATAAAATTTATTATAAACTATATAAATAAACTAATAAATATATAAAATATATAATAAAATTTAAAAAAAATATATAATAAATATAATTAATAAAAATTCGACTAATAAAATTAACTAATAAAAATTTAAAATATGCTAATAATATTTAACTAATAAAATATAAGATATACTAATAAAAATTTTTTATATTACAATATGCTACATAGCTACCTTAATATATATATAACAGTTTTATTAAAGATTAGATTTAGATATTTAAGTAAAATTATTTAAAATTATATCAGATATAATTAGATTTTATAGACCAATAAATAGAAACTAAACCCAATCTAATATTTTAATAAATCTAACTCAAAGCTGACTTATAACAGGTCTATAATTTGAATCTAATTTAGATCTGAATCTGACTTAACTTACAAAATTTCAGATTAAATCTAATCTGTTCTATACTCTAGATACATTAATCATTTAACCCTATATTAAAAAATTTATATATATGATCTATATGACAAATTATGTGATTGATAAGTTTTGTTTTTAAGAACAGAAAGAATAAATCTTGTGAATTATTTTTTGTATTTTAAAAAAATAATAATATTTTTTGTAAAGCTATTTTTATGGAAAGTTAAAACTACTTGTACTATATATGATATTTTAAATTTGTTCATTCTAACTTTTTTTGAGAGGTTTACTAATTTCAAATTAGTTATATATTTTTGTAATAATAAAAAAAAATTAGTTTAATAATTTAGAACTGTATTACTATAAAATAGAAAGTTATATAAAATAAGAAAAAAATATAATAATATTGAATCTAACTTTAATCTAAACAGACTTTAACTAATATTAATTATATTATTTTTAAGTATATAAAATTCTAAAAATTTGAACTAAATAATAAACTATTGTTCAAAATTTTAATAATCAAAATACAAATAAACAAATTTTGTTTTTATATTATTTATAGAAAATTTATAAATTTACCCATAGTGTATAAACACAGATATAATTTATTGGATTATATATTCGTGCAATACACTAATCAAAGCAATTTTACAAAAGAAAAATTAAACTCTCGCTTATGGTTAGGGTAAGGGTGGGTTTGGAATTGGACAAGGTATAGCTTATACCAAAATTTCGCAAGAAATTTTTTTTGTTTTAAGCCAAAAGGTGGTTTCATAATCTAAATTTTGAGATATCTATTTGCCTGTGTATATACACATAGTGTACAAATAGAAATTGCTTTATTTATAAACAAAAAATTGTATTACTATAAATTTTTAGAATAGCAGACATCTGCACGCTATTTTGACTACATGCGTGCTATTTTAAGTACACCTATGGGCATTATTTTGAACCAAGGGTTAATTTTTAATAAACTTGATAGCCAAAAAATCATATATAAAAAAGTTAAAAGATCATATATAAAAACAGAAAAAAGAGACCAAAAACTGATAAATTAAAAAAAAGCAAAATCTGAATTTGACAAGTAATTCTATATGTGGTGCGTATTATTTTAGAATGCACATAGGCATTATTTTGAATTTGCATATGCTATTTTTAGAGAGCGCAAATTTCAAATTAACGCCCATGCCCGCTATTCTGAGAATTTACAGTATAGAACTTTTATAATATGCAAATTTGCAGATAAATATCACAGCAATTTTGTATTTCATTATGAAAACTTTTATAATTATAAATATTATATGACAGGGTGAAACCTGAGTTACTAGCTAGTAAAATTTGCTATGTAGAGTGAAATCTGCTATGTAGATCACATGAGGGTTAAAATCTGCTTTTGTATAATAAAAAATATAGTAAAACTCAGATTTCACCCTTAATCCTAACTCAAACTCAGATTTTACTCTACATAGTAAATTTTACTAGCTGGTGACTCAGGTTTTACTCTATTCTAATATTATTGCCTAGATACTTCAAAAACATTTATTCAAATTTTTTTGCAAACTTTAGATTAATTACCAAGGTAAAATATATTTATTAAAACTTTAAGTATACTGTAAATTCTTAAAATAATGAACAGAGACATTAATTCAAAAATTATGCCCCTAAAAATAGCATAGATAGTTTTGAAATAATGCTCATGCATATTCCAAAATAACATGCATCTAATAGTAAAAGGTAGTAAAATTTAAAAAATGCTCCAGAACTAGGTTTGGTACTATGTAAATCTACTTTTGAGCTTTAACAAAAATTGTTCTTCAAATCAAGATGGTTCTAATAATAATAAATTTATCAAAAATGACTCAACAAAGATAAACCAATATTGCAAAACTTTGAAGAGCCATTGCGGATGATATGCTGGGCCGTTTTTAATGAACTTACTACTATTAGAACCATCTTGACCTGAAATTAAAGCCCAAAAGTATATTTACTTAACACCAAACCTAGTTTCTGAGCATTTTTATTTATTTACTTTTTATATAAAAATATATATAATTTTATATTTGTTTCAAAATAACGCCCATGTGTGTACTCAAAATAACACACATGCATTCAAAATAACACACAGGTAACTGTTATTTCGAGAATTTATGGTAATAATTTATTTACAATGACATTACTATACTCAAAAAAAATATATTTTAAAAATCAATAAATAGAAAAGAATATATACAAATTTTGTTTTTAATAAAAAAAAATAAATATCTACATTGCGTGGGTATAATAAATTATTTTCACGTTTATAGTAGTTATGTAATAGTCACACTTCAACTCACAATTAGGAGCAAGTTATTCTTCACCGTCTAAAACCGGCCTCCGCAGGATCGGCCTCAGCATCACGTTTAACGACACTAAGTTTTCTAACAGTCTTGGCCTCAGCATCACGTTTAACCTCCTGAGCATCACGTTTAAATAAGACGGCCTCCGCAGGATCGGCCTCAGCATCACGTTTAAAAGTGGAGTGCTTAGCATCACGTTTAACCTCCTGAGCATCACGTTTTACCTCCCGTCTAACAAAATCCAAAGCCTCCGCAGGATCGGCCTCAGCGTTTGCATCACGTTTCTGTAACAGCGCTGACGGGGTTACGGGGAGGTCAAAAAAAATGGTAATACTTAATTATCACATTTAATAATTTATATAATTTATTAAAGATCAAAATTTTTAATAGATCATGGCGTATGACAATTTAATTTTTACGTAGCCTTACCTCCAGCGTTTGCATCACGTTTACCACGACCTACATTGGAGACAAAATTAGACGTTTAG